TAACACGGCGTCGAATAATGTTTCCAGCAATGTCTGGTCCCAGAAACCTGGATGATGGGCGCGAACCGGTGCGACAGCGCCGAGCAAGGTTCTGTGATATGGAAGCTTGTGGAGTGGCCTTTCTTGCAGGGGTGTAGATTGCGGTCCTCTCGACGCCGTCGCTTGTGCAACTTGCTTAACGGCAGCGCCGTCGATCCCCTGTTTGCAGTATGGAGTGCCCTTGGAACAATACGGCGTGGCGCACCTCTCACAACCGTTTTCTTGTCGATGAACATTCGAAGTTTGCTGTCCGTATTGGCTTACCGACGGATTTGATAATGTCCCCAGGATAGCTTGACGGTCCTTAAGTTGTATGGAGCGTGAGTATAGTGTCGGTCCTTTTAGGAACCACATCGCACCCAAAAAGAAATCAAACCCTCTTTTTTTCCTTTTGATTCTCTAATACTAATCCAAAATAATACCAGGGTGACGAGCTGTCGGGACTTCTTGCAGGGGAAGGGCACACGGCCTTTTGAAGACGAGTCGGAAGCTGTGAGGTCATGCCCTTTAAACGCTGGGTAATAGGTCAATGCCAATCCCCAATCAGCAACCCAACTCTCCCGTAAATTATTGAGGTACTACAATGCAGGCCCTCCCTTGTCTACCCAGCTTGGCCTTACTGTATGTACAATGCCTGTCCCTAAAGGAGGGAGGGGGCCGGCCACCAAACCATGCCCATGCATGGTGTCGTAATAGCTCCCGCTGTCAGTGCCCCGGTGTGACAAGGATGGGTGGGGGAGAAAATGGCCCTGACTGCCAGTCTCCTTGGATTAGGGATGCAGTACTCGCGGTGTACGGATTATTAAATATGTTATTACCAAACAACATTGAAGCAACGGAGTCCGGTACTTACGGCCAGGGTTTTGATGCCATGTTTATTGCATCAGTGTTACAGGCCGACCTGTACGGACGCCCTTCCGGGCCTCTAGGGTAGCATACTCGATGACAATCTTGTCTCCCAGAGTGTGTTCTATTCGCATTCAGACACCACGTGCATGAATGCCTCATTCGTGGACCACAGTATGTACGGTAGCTGCCCGGGGTAAGAGATTTGGTGTTGGCGGAGAGCCAGAGAGTCGGCCAGCACAAATGACCGGTTTCACCATGATTAATGCTGTACGGGGTAATGACAACTCCGATGGTCGTTTAGCGGGCCGAATATTCACTCGTGGAGCCCGTGCCAACCACAAGAATCGAGCAGACGGATCATGGCGGGCTTTTGCTAACGCAGTGGTACCGTTTGCACTGTGCTAGCAGTTTTGAATGTTTGCTATTGCTCCATCAGCTAGCGTAAGCGCCTGACGCCTGTTCCACTTTGTTCTGATGTTTCGTACTCGGCCCAGCTTGTGTCACAGTGCGACCGGGGCAGTCGTTCTCCTTTGTCTTTTCCCCGTACGGAGTACGGAGTACATGAGAAACTCTAGCCTTGTCTGCACGCCATGGGTTTGTCACCAACAAGGCCAGGGTGTTGGGGTACAGTGCCTACCTACTAGTGGTTGCAGGTCTTGTGTCACAGCCGAGACAGTCGAGGCAATCAAAACAGAATGCCAGTGCTCCCTCCGTACTCCGTAGTCGTAACCATGTCGTTGAAGGGAAATAGTAGCAAGAACAAAAAGCACTCTGCCAAAGGAGTGAGCTCATCGGCCCGGATGGTATTTGATACATCCGAAAAGATTCGGCGTTGCACGGGCCTGACATGTCAAATTAACGGTCGGTGGTAGTGGCAGCAGGGAGGAATGAATGGGCGAGAAGAAGCCAGGGCGCCTGACATTTTGATCAAAGGGCCAAAAGGGAACAAGGACAAAAGGGCCGTCTTCGCAACCTCAGACCAACCGGCCGCATCTCCGGTGGATGAAGATGGTTGGCATTTTGTCTTTGTCCTTGTCTTTGTCTTGGCCGTGGGTTGCCGGCTTACGCTGGCTCGTCGAGTCAGCCAAGGACCTGGGACGATCGTCTGTCGGTAGTCGAGTTACTACGTCAAGTCGATGCCCTGGCGCGGTTTTCGATGGCAGCAATGTTTTGCTGCTTCCTGCATCTCGCGAGACGGCCTATTCGACGTTGTCCTGCAGCGAACGCACATGCCAGACGAATCATTTATGTGGGAGGGGCGAGCACCACCTCCCGGAGGAGCCACCGGTCAGCCACCTGCCACCTGCACCCGTGCCGGCACGCTCCTTCCGTCGCTTGTCGGGCAGCAACTACCCCAAGCCCCCTCCCTCCCCCCACCCAAAAAACAACATGTGCAGGTCAGGGAACAATGAGAGCAGGTCACTCCTTCCCCCTCATCTGAAAGGTTCCAACCTCCGGGCCGTCTGGTTTTTGCTGCGATTAGGGCATTCCTCAACCACTTACTGGATATAACTACCAACGAAGTCAAATCTCGGACAGCTGAAGCACTTTGACAAATTATATAGCACAGAAGCGACTGGGCAATACAGGCTTCTCATCGTAAATGGAAGGCAAGGCTCATGCAATACTGTGGACTTTTGTATTAAACCATCCATGAAAATTGACAAGTATAGGCCATACCGTGGCACTGGCCATGGCAAACATCAACTGATAAAACTAAATAAAGAGTGCAAGTGATAAAACGCTGACGTGCTCGTCAAGCACTGAACCTCGTGCTAATCTTGGTATAGCGTTGTCTTGTCCTTGTTGGAAATTGTGAAAGATGAGCATCGGAGAGCCGCTCTCGTCGACTTTCACAGCACGAGACTCGACTCCTTGTCCGAGCGAGGTGAACGCCAACTTCTGGCTACGTTGGACCAGAACCACTGCTTGCGCGCCGGCCACAGCACAGTGCACCTCGTTTTCACCTCGTCCATGTATCAACCAGATCAAATGCATCAACCAACAATGATTTGGCCCCTGGTCCCGCCCGGCGCTTGCCCTTGAAAGCGACCTTGGCATCGCCTCATGATTGGCCGCTGACCTGGTGTAAGCGCCATGGCACACTTCAGATGCGTCAATCCTCGCACCTTGATCCGCCCTCTGGCCAATCCCATACCAAGCAGCTTCCACCTCGGTCAGCCATCTCGTGCTCGCCTTGAGCCGCCTCCGTGTCGAGCGCGGTTATCCTGCATGGCGGTCAGGGCCGCGGCCAGCGAGACGGGCATCCAATTGGTCTGAATAATGAGAGATGCCAGCAGTAGCAGGAGTGTGCGATCAAGTCCAGCGGCAATGGAACATTGTCCGATATCTATAACACCCGTCGACTGCCCTTGCTCCTTGTAGACAACACCAGACTTCCAATCTTGCTGGTTTTCACCACTCTCTTCTATTTTCTGTTTTCTTTCTTTGCTTTTTCGGTATTTCATTTTCCTTGTTTCTTCCATCTCTGACGGACCGTTTCGTTCCTCCATTCCAGAAAACATGTCGTCGAGCCTCAAAAACGAGCTGTCATCCTCAGACTTTGAGGTCGATTCCAACGAGATTCAGTCTCATTCCCGAGTCCAAAAGGTCAAGCTCATTCATAGTCTTCGTACTGGCTTGACTGGCCTGGCGCTGGCTGCTGGCATTGCCATCCTGGGCCTCTCCGCAGACACTCTGTCTGTATACAATGCCACACATCTGCCAGCCGACTTTTTGTTGTCCCTTTGGCCAGAGAACCTTGACATCAGACCGACCACTTCGCTAGTTGCCGGTAGTGCGATAGTGACGGCTATGAATGTGGTCTCCTTGGTTGCGAGCAAGAACGAGTTTGTGAGTTGCCACCATCACGAGTGAAAAACCTCAAAGGTGGCTGCCAGAATTCTCTAACACGACTTCTCTACAGGTTCGAGGTAGAATAATGGCTCATTCTGCGGTCAGCCTCACGGCGCCTGTCGTTGCTTTCATCGCTTCCCTCGTCGCCATGGTCTTCTTCTACGCCATCAACGCCTCCACGACGGTCGACTCATTCCAGAGTTGGACTTGTCGCTGGAAAAGTGTACCCATGAGCACTCGTCCCTATTTTGGCACTTTGTGCAGAGAGAGCCAGACTTCCCTTGCACTGGCTGTGCTTCTCGTGCCTCTGGAGTTGCTCATCTTGGTGACGGCTTGCTTCCAGGTAGTTATGGAGAAGAAGGTGGAAGTTAGTTTACACCTGCGGGACGGCTCGGCTTCCTCGTAACTTACCAAGAAACTACGTTGTGCGACCAAGGATAACGTCTTTTGCTTTTCTTCTTGCCGCCTTAGTGCTGCGGTACCCTCGGGAGAGATGATTTCATCTGTTGGAGAGTTCTTTTTGGGAGCGGGAATAAAGCGTCCGAGGCCACGTCGGAGGATGCACCGGTATTGTTAGGCGTGTTTTTTTCCTTCTGCACATTTCTCAAGTAGGATTGAGTTGAATGTTTTGGCAACGTAATGAATGATTTCTAGCGCTCAAAAAATTGAAAGTCAGTATACCTAGGTAGTTTTGCACCTCCCAAGTAGAACAGCCAACATCATCACTTCGATCCCATGCAACTTCGTATGCAAGATTAGACGGTACCTCGTGGCACATACATGTTTCAGCAGCAGTGTCACGACATGAGAGTAATGCGAGTCATCTCGTAAACAGTTGTTGTTTCTATTCCCCATCCAGGTTCCCACGTCTTTTGTGTCATGTACAGCGGATGAAAATCACATGGGGCAAGCCTCAGCTTATGGCCTCTCTTCATTCGCATGTATAGCTTTTCATTCCGTTATGGTGGCCATCACAAGTTCACGTCTACTACACCTTGCTTCCGGTCCTCTTATTTGGGCGACATGCACTTTCAAACAGCTGCCACAGCCGTTCTGAGTGATGGAGCAACTGGCAGATTCCTCAGTGTTCGTGCCTCGTGCTGTTTCGTGTTATCCTGAGAGAACTTTAAAATGTCCCAGAAATTCTTCGGAGGACTGTCACATCCTTCAAGCCTTTAATGTTACTCAGCATTGTTCACAACCGCGAGGTCTTGTGTGACGAACCCCCTCCAGGAGCAGAAAAGTGCACCAGAACCATGGACTGGCGTCCATCGAGTATAGAGCAGAGACAGGTCATCTCCGACGATGTGCTGCCATTATTTCTTTTCTTTTTCGACGTATTGAGTATTGAGAAAATCACTTCGGAAATGGCAGACATCTCATCTCCAATCTCTCGAAGAGTGTCGTTTCCAGCTGCAGATGGGCTCTATGTGCCGACCCCTATGATGTATGAGCCGTCTCGGCGCACCCCATCTCCCAAGCTTGCCTACACTGATAGACGGGACTGTCAACACATACGACGGTCTAGTTTGGAACCGGTACTGGAGGGAGAAGTGAGAACATCCGACAATAGACGGCATAATGTTGGTCATGATTCCGGCAGCGCTCCGCCAAAGCCAAACCTGGCAAAACCTCCCGCCCCGAACTCAGGGAGGCCAGCCCATAGCAAATCTACTGGCTTGCGGCGTGATTTTATCTTTCGAAGTGAATCACTCCTCTCCGTCGAGGTCAAGACTAATGTTGTGGTATGCATCGCCATTTTCTGCCGCCAGACAGTACAATGCTAACAATGTTTTTTAGATTACCAACGAGTATCTCTTCATGAATGAACTCACACATCATTTGTCGATCCGGTACAGTCGCCCTATAAGCTCAATCGCCATATCTTTACAGCATGGGATGTGTCTGCTCTTCGGTGGCTCATTCGAGCCAGCATACATCATGACGATTACTGCATTGGCAGATCAAGTCAAGGCCGATACGAACAGACGAAATGCAGCGTTATTCCAATCCCATCTTCAGCAAGCTCTCAGGGTTACCCCAACACGCGGCCTCGTCCTATTTGTGCCTATTGTCGAGGAATGTTCAGCAAACGGCGGAGCCGCAGCAAAGGGAGCGTCGGTTGGGCAAGGTTTGCAAGGCCATGACGACAGAAATGGAGAGGGGCGAAGATCCAAGGTAAGCATCCTGCTGCGTGTTTTCGGAGCTGATTCCGAGTGTCTGATTTGTCTAGTCGCTTACTTTGCGGAAACCCGCATCGATGACATCCATGCTGTCTCAGCGACAAGATAAAACGGTGCCTCCTGTTGATGCCATACCACCTACAGCGGTTCCAACGGCCAGTGTTGACATGATGATTTCACCGGAGATGAAAACAAGCAAGAAACGGAAGAGTTTTATGCACAGCCTGTTCATGAGATCACAAAAAGAAGTAGAAATGAGCTAATGACTTGGTGGGAGATGACTGTTCAGTCTCCTTTTTTTTCCCCTTTCAAGCGCTTAGGGTAGCGACGATCTAAAGGTGGTGAGCACAACCAGACCTTTTCCACGGTTCAATGAACAAGTGTAACAAACCTCGGGCAGTCCAGACCATGGAGTGACATGGCCCTTCTTTGCTGGCTGGCGGCGCCCCATTGGCAGAAACGTGGCAGATTCGATACGGCGTAGATCGCGCTGGTGAGCAGGAGGAGCTGTCAATTTCTTTGGTAGTGGTGGTGGAGGCGTGCATTGTAGCTAATTCTCAGCACCGCATTGCAAGTTCCAATGGGGCAGAGAAGCTGTTTTCTCTCATGGCTTCATTCTTTCATGGTCTCATGATGGCTAATGAGAGGAGGCATGGGAGAGTCGGCGATTGATCACACGGCAGTTGACAAGGCAAGAATAGATGCAATGGTACTCCGTAATATGCAATTGATACCTTTGCATGTACGGAGTAGCCATTTTTCCTTTTTAGTGGCTGGCCGCATGCGTTTTGCCACGATTGAGCGGGTATGTAGGCTCAAAAATGCCATGGATAGGCGTTTCCTGCATCGGTCCTGAAGTCAAGGTGTGTTGATGTTCAATCAGACTTATGTCAACCAGGCGGTTGGCTTCCAATATGCAGCCCATATTGGCTCCAGGGCTGGTCCTTCCTGCACCTGCCTGGTGCTCGTGTTTCATTGCCGGCCCACAATTGACCGCCTGCGGAAAGCGGAAACCGGCAGGAGCTACTCATCCACAGGGACCTGCCTCCTGCCAACAGGAAGCCAGCGTCAGCTAACTGCCTTACCCCAAACATTCAAACCTCAACCGTCCAATGGCAGATTCCATCCTCCAAGCTCCATCACTTCGACGGCCTTGAGTCCCATGCCGCTTTCTTTATCGACGAGGCCTCAGGGTGCACCACCAACCATCGCCATCTCACCCACAAAGAAATTCGATTTAGCAACGCGTCCGAGTGCTCAAAAACCAAACAGCGGCCAATTTTTGTGGATTTGACAACTCGATGCAGAGTACTTGTTTGCGTACTCGTCCTTCTCTCGGCCCTGGCGTTCATCATTTCAACCTCGCTTGAGCTTCAGCTTGACCTTCGATGACCCCTGGTCACATCGCACTCAAAGGACTCTGTTAAAGCTGAAAAATCTTCTGGGCTTGCAGACACCATCGACTCTTTCATAGGTCGCGGTGACCCTGCGCCTGCTATCGTCTCCGGAGAGCCCAGAGGCCATCTTTTAACCATTGGGAGCACTGCCTGTCCAGAATGGAGGTGAGTGGCTGGCATGCTGAGATGTTTTTGTTTGTTGTCTCTATTCGCATTGGTGCAAACCACTGGCTGCCTTCTTTCTACCAAGTGTGCAGAGAGGAAAATTACCATTGGTTTCGCAAGCTCGGCAACAGCTAAATATTCGAATCTGGCTTCCGTCTGTCCTGGACTGGTCAGATTCGTTCATCCCTGATACGATTTCCAAGCTGCCGAGTGGCGTGCTAGATAGGGGTAACACAGCGGAACAATTGGCTTGCATCTTCGCTTTCTGGCCACGCCACGACGATGTTTTTCTTTTGGACCGTGTGGTCGGGCTAGCGTGATGCAACCAGTGGGCTGCTAATGCTGTTGCAATTTAGCTGCATCGCTCCGTATGCATTTTCTCGTCGGGTTCTAGGACGATCCGAAGGCCATAGCAAGGAGACCTGTGTCATGGAATGACCACGTTGCGTTGCGGCTTGGGCCGAGCCTCAACGACATGCTTCTTCCGGGGTCCATGCTCCATTGATGCTGATCTGTTCTAATGACTCGCCATCCGCCTGGTCGCAAGCGCATCCAGGTTAGGACAAGGCAGGGAGGTGTGGCTTATGTCGCTTAATGGAAGACGACAATATGACAATATTCTGCTGCTGCCTTGGCCCAGGAGCGCTCTCATATCTCAGATAATCCCGAGTCTATCGCTTCTCGTGAGACTGTGGCGGTCGCCTTGAGCGACGAAAAGCCATATGACTTGGCACTTTGGGTAGCAACATTCCTTTGGCTTTGTGACATGGCACTCGCTTTTGTAAGAGTTGTGTTGACTGTTGTTTGGTCGTATGGTGGACGATGGCGAGAGTCTTTTTAAGTATATTCGGGAGGCCAACCATTTTCGTGTTCACTTGCTCTGCACCCAAATTATCAGCAAGCGCTGGCTTAACCGGTGGCCGTTCAGTTTGTAATTTTTTCATTTTTTATTTCCTATTCTTTTTCAGCAATACTGCAATACTTGCTTTGGTACATACTTTGCAATGACGCTAAACCCTCCTCTTCGCGAAACTCTACTCGCAGAGTTGGGCGATGATACGAACTTGACAGCTCGTTCGTCCTCTGGCATCATGAGTCCAGCCGAACTAACCTTGCAACGTATTCAAATGCAGTCCTCAACTGGCGCGCAAAGCAAAGATGCTGCTAAACGTGTGGCAGTTGCTAGACGCGGCGCATCCACCATAGCTCTGGCTCCTAAGGGAAAGCCGAGGCTTCTATTGATGGGTCAGAGAAGGTGAGTGTTATTTGTGTCGGTGGAGGCGGTAATCAGCATATTCACAACTTTGTAGGAGTGGGAAATCCTCTATTTCGAGCGTTGTATTCCATAAACTACCTCCCAATGAGACCCTGTTTCTGGAGTCGACAGCACGGATACAGAAGGACTCTATGGCGTAAGAAACCATAAAAGTCTATTTTAGCTCCATTGCACTGTTGACAAAATCGCTAGATCCTTCATGGACTTCCAAGTCTGGGACTTTCCAGGACAAATCGATGTTTTCGACAACGCCAATTTCGATATGGATGCAATTTTTGGTGAGATAGGCGCTCTAATATGGGTGATCGATGCCCAAGACGACTATCTCGAAGCTGTATCCCGCCTCAACGCCACTGTTCTCTTTTTACAACGCGGCTATCCTAACATCAATATCGAAGTGTTTATACACAAAGTCGATGGTCTTTCCGATGACTATAAGCTTGATATCCAGCGCGACATTACCATCCGCATCCAAGATGAATTGTCTGATCACGGATTCGAAAATGCGCCAGTTACATTTCACCTGACTTCCATTTATAACCATTCCATCTTCGAGGCCTTTAGCAAAGTCATACAGAAACTCATCCCTCGCTTAGGGACGTTGGAGTCCATGCTTACCAATCTCTGTCGAACGTGTCGCTTTGAAAAAGCATATCTTTTCGACGTGCTTTCTAAGATTTATATTGCTACTGACAATGCAACGGCTGACATGGCAAGTTATGAGATTTGCAGCGACTATATTGATGTTATTATTGATATCACAGAGGTATATGGTACATGGCAGCGTAGTGACGAGAGTCGCAAGAAATTGGAAGGAGAGCCGTGGAATACCAAACTTGATGAGCAGATTGGCTGTCCTACGGCCGAGAGTTGTCTCGTGTTGCATGATAGCAATAAGCCCATTATGTTGAGGGAAGTGGATCGTTACCTGGCCCTGGTTGCGATTATGAGAGATGATTCATATGACAGAATGCCCCTGGTCAATATGAATGTTGAGGCAGTCGTAGAGGGGTTGACGGAGTTCTTCAACATTACGAAACCACGGAAGTAGCGTCACTGAAATCAAGAGACTCTTACGTGCGGTCAGGTCATGAACTCAAAATATATCACTCATAATTGGAGATGACGCCGACAACTAGGGGTATTTCATATTGCTTTTAGCGGGTTAATTGATCGTCTGTTTAATCAGTCCCCGTCCAAAGGAATGACGTCAATGCGGGATTGTAAAAGTCCGCCATGTTGTCCTGTTACTCGATAACAGGCATATTCTCACAGGCAGCTCTCCTCGAAGGTCTGTCTTGTCATGGACTTCCATTCGAACAGGCCGCATGGCGTATTCTGGGGGGATCGCAAACTCTTGTAAATCAGCTAGTTCAACAATTGGTGTATCACCCGGAGATGAGTCATATGCCTTGTATTGGAGGTGGTCGGATTCGAGCGGGACGAGGGTGACGATTGAAGTGTTATCTAGTTGAAATTAGAAGGTGCCAAGATGTTATGCAAAAAAAAAAAAAAGTTAGTACAATTACCAGTTTGAGTACACAGCAAGGCCAATGTCTCGCCATTTAAAAACTTCAAGTCGACTAGTTTTTTATTGGGGAGACGAATGCATGCCGATGTCGTCTGAGAACTGCTACTAATGCCGTTCTTGATGTCGACGCCGGATTGGAATATGTGCACTGCTTTAGTTAGAGATTTGTTTTATTTATTGTCCATGTCCACCGCTGGGTGCTTGCCTTTATCGCTGTATGATTTTGATGCTAGCGCCGTGTATATCCTGCCTGCCTGTATGCTAGTTAGTTTACCTGTTTGGAATCAAGAGTGAAAGTTCGGGGCAACTTGCATTCCCGCTGGTATGGCATATGAGGGTGTCCATTAGTGCAATGGGTTGCCCGATGGACAGCTTGACAGCCTTGCCAAACCGTACGCTTCGCTTTGTTGCTTCTGCTATGTCCTTGAATATTCGACTGGAGCAAGTCGTCACGTATGATACCAGAAAGTCTACGTGCTGGAGAGCTTTTCGGGATCCTTGTCCTGACTCTTGTTTCTTCAATTGCGCGTCAAGAATGGGCAATATGCCGACACCGTCTTCGATATGATCGAAGTCAGCCTGCCAGTCTTCCTCGGAGACTTGGTCAAAGTATACATCTAGTGGACTATGGGTGAGATAATTCTCAATGTACGTGAGAACCTTTGACGTGTCCATAGTTGCCTCTTTTTCGGTGAGCTCATCTGCTGTTGTACTAGATGAAGCTTGACGATCAATCTGAAATCGCAACCATGTAGAAAACGCGTTGAAATGCTCCAGTTCGTCCATGACATTGGATAGAATCTTGTGGCCGACTAGACCCAGACAAGCGATAATGTCGAGAAGTCTGCTGGTTTGAGTAACCGAGTATCCAATGTCGTCTCTGTCGTCGTAGAA